GATCTCCCTAGATAATCTCCACGTTTATGCCCGTTTCTGTTGTAATTGAACCAGCGATATACATTCCTGAATTATCATTCTAATCTTTATGATGTATAACCACATTGCGGAGTCATCGCATTAGTCGTATTAGCGAGTCGTAGATAATAATTTTATGACATTGTATATCTATGTTTATTCGAGAAATTGTCAGTTAAGCGATTTTAAATACCATTTCGTTAGGTCTATGCAAGTGTTACTGTTAATCCGATCGTAAATATATGGTTTGAAAAGTATTTTATTCAGATAACATATTGATTCGTTTTGGGTTTTAGAAATATACTCTTCTATTATCTTTGTATTCTTGCCTACGTCATCCGATTCATGGTTTCATGTGGCAGGTACCCAATCAGTTAAATGTTCCTCAGTTACTGCAGTCTATTTTCTCCATCAACCTTAAACAACATAATTTCGCAAAGGTGATGTTTCTTGGTAGTATTTCGGCTAAACTTCACCGTTTGCTTAGCCCAAACAGTAAGTTGAGAGAGTCCAATGTTCTGCTGTTATGTAATGAAATAATCAGTATTCTCTCAAAAAACAACACTATCTATCTTTGTAAGTCCGTGATCTTGTTGGCATAATAGGTAGTAGTTTTCATTTATTTTGCTTATTGATCACTTCTTCTAGCCTGACTATAGAGGACTAATAAAATTCTGTTGGCGAATGACACAATAAACGTCCTTCTATCAATAAAGCAGTAACGGCGAGATGCAACTGAGGTTAATGCTTAACTCCTGTTGGCTACTACGCTACTTCACGTGCTCACTTTTTCGAGATTCAGAATGGAATTAGAACAAGGTTGTAGTATAACGTTCTAAAAGACCTAGTATCGACTCAAGTAGTATGAAGATATCATTTATCTCATGATAGTAAACTCAAATATGGCTATGTAGCTACTTCGCATACATGAGCAAATTTTCGTAATTTATTGTGTGCCTAGTCTGACCCGCCACTAATTATTGATTTCGCTCCCACCTTCCCTCAGGTTAGTCAGTAGAGCAATAAAGGGTTTTTAATACTAAAAAACTCTAGAAAATATGGACAATTCTGAATATAAATAGTCCGCAACATAAGCCAGTTACCACATTTAGTCGTTCATTTATGAAGATTAGTATTTGTTTGTAGCTTTGGATTGGAAAAATCAATTTTAATTTAGACATCTAGTTTTAAGATGATAGAACGAATTACAGATCAAAAACATGAAATACGGTAAAGAGATCTCGTTTTGATGAATTGTACATCATTCTGTTCAATCACGAATATATTTATCTGTACATATGAAGCTCTGATTATTATTAATACTTTTCTGAGAGAGCAGGTATCCATCATTTTACAGGTATGATCTATAGTTTGTGACATTTGTTTGTAAACATTAAGATTGTTTCGGGCGTGAGAAGCCCTATGGCTCTTCAAAGAAAGCATGTTGGTGAAAAAGAAACAAAGGAGAAGCAAAGCACTAGGACATAAGCTCTAAACTACGATTAACAGTTTTTGATGAGACAGAAAAAGGGATGACGGATAGGTAGGTTAAACTTATGTCGCTAAAGTGAAGTGTGGTTACAACCCTACAATAAAAGATTATGGTAACACAGAACAATGAGTTGTGTTATGTAACAAGGTGGAATGGGTTCAAATGATGGAAGGGAAGTCAAAGTTGAAATAAGGAAGGCTGCTTAGTGGAACAGAAAGTACATCAAAAGAGAGTAACGTTAAGAAAGGCTAATATCGATGACTTTGATTTTTATTTCATCTTTGTATTGGTTGTTTCAGTCTTCCTAATAATGTTCAGGGTTGCAGTTGATCAATCTTTTTGGCGCATAAACATCCTGTGTGGGTTGCCTCGAAATTGCCTCAAGTCACAAAGATTGTAAACAGAGATGGGTGATGGTTAGAAGTAAACCTCAGGACGCGTGTTTCGTTCTATTTGAGACTGGTCAGCAGAATGTTCATGCATCTCAAAGTGAACATCACATTTGGGATGCACACATGCCAATGAGAGACTGATCAACTACAGTTCTAGCCATCAATGGGAAAAAACGAAACATCCAGTACAAAAATGAACTAAAACTTCACCTCATTGCACAAGATAGTGACCATCTGGATTCAGAGGCTAAGTAAACGATGTGATGACGTTTGAAGAGATCGATACTGATTTCGAGCCCTAGAGTGAACAACCGCTCTGCAATGCAGCTACATCCTGCTGGAGAGTCCTAAAAAGAACGAAATACGCGTCCTGAATTTCACGTTTAGCCACCACCCACTTCTGTTTATGTAAGTGATTGTTCTTCTTAGTTTTTACGTGGTGCCAGCCACAAGATCATAACTTGAAAGTTTGTTTTAGCATGTGATGTGTTATCTTGGTAGAATAGCGAACTCAACATGAGTCTGAATAACGAGCAAAGGATAATAACCTCAGTATCACTGATTGGTTTCGTTGTCCTTAATCATTAAGAACCTGAAACGAACAAAATATCCTGCCCCACAAACATGAGTAGATTGAAGTTATCGCCCTAACCATTAGTGATTGCTGGTCCGTAACTTCACCCCCTCCTTTTGTCATTTGGGCTCATTAAGGTTCATTTCAAGAAAAAATGTCTCGTACGATGCTATGTGTTTCACATCCTATTGGAAACCAGTATTTCTATAAGTATCATTTTACAAGCATGTCAAGTCTTAATTCTGCGAGAGCATATGAACAATAAAAAGACATGCTGAATTAATGGAAAGATCACAATACTACATTACAGGGGCTAAACAGTAACAATAAAAGATTATGTATGTATGAATAAAAGTAGTGTAAAAGTTAAAAAGTTAACTGTGAATAGAAATGTGGGTAGAGTAAAATAATTAACACGTTTTTGTTGTAATTACTAATGATATCAGAATCGTTAAATAAAATGTACTGATATCCGGAAAAATCATAAATAGAATCAATGTTATGTAAGAGACGATTAGGAAAGAGGAATATTTTCATATTCTATGACAATGAAATAAGCATCAATAATATTGATGTTTAAGATCACGAAAAAGACGACGATAAGACTGATTACTTTTAGGGATGAAGTTCATGCTCCATTCCGTGAATGAAAAGAAACTCTGCCGTTTGAAAAAGTTGAATGCGAATGATGCCTGATACATTTGGACAAAATTTACGAAGAACCTTAATATCAGCATTTGGATCATGGAGCCATTAGAACTGAATGAATGTTCAAAGATGAAGTTTTTTGTCGTCTTTTAGTCGCTATTGTAGGATGATGGGAATATTTTCTGTTATTGAAGTTGTTAACAAAAGCCAGCCCGAGGTTTGATATGGCCGCGCAACTAACGGTAATGTCAAGACTCCAGCTTCTTTTAAACAACCATGATCATACCTTTGGATCCCTTATGTTTAGTGGTGGGTACTGATGTATACATAGTATTATTTACTTGTTATTTAACTAAGCTCTATATACATCAGTTTTCTGGTAACACTTAAACTATTCTCAAACTGAGCAGTGAACTTTTGTTGACAGTTTCGTGCTGTTGTCGAAGGATAAATTTTTACCTGATGTAGGAATTTATTTTGTTTCCATGGCTTGTCCAGATTTTACATACAGTCCAATTGCACATGTACAATTAGCGAAATGTTAATGTACACTAGTCAGACCATTCGTCAAGCTAAATAGTTTTGATGTTAAATAGCTGATCATCAAAAGTTTAACAGTTTACCGAGCATCACCAATATCAAGGATAACTAATGCAGATTAGTGAGTTGAATACCATGGACCAGGACAAAGTGGGAAAGGTTCCGCAATGTACTTTTCTCACCTCTTCTTATAAATAGATGTTGGTTCAGAAGGATTCTATTTGTTCTGTACAGCCCACAAGGAAGACATTTCATCTCACCATTGCGATAGCATAAGGCAGGTTAGGTGTCAAGTGTGATATGTAACTCCTAAGTGAGCTAGAAAGTCACGCTATGCCTACCCGTTATGGGCAGACTTCAACATCCACGTTGGTGATGTTCGTGACCGCACCAGAATTGCTTCTTGAGCTGTTCAGTATATACTTTCAGCCTCAATTTCAATTCCGTGACACTTTAAGGCATCCTTCATGAGACGCATGACTTTCTCAAAACAAATAGGGCCGAACGAAAATGTGGGTGATAAGGCTAAGGAGCGAATCTCAGATTTGTGTAGTATCGAGGAGAGATACCTCAATATTTGAAACTTCAGGCTAGGCTATAGGAAAGTACAAAACGACTCAATGATGGCAGATAACATAACAATTACTTACTCTGACAAACTTGATACGGTTCTCCCAGAGGAAGTCTTTGAAAAATTGCATATCAAAGGGAGAAAACCCAGTCGTAATCGCATATTTCTCATTAGTTGTACCCATCTGTGATGTCATCCCAGTAAGTGACTGTAATCCCCCAGCGTATAGTCTTAGGAATGACCTGATGCAACGATATACTAACCCATGCATTACCATTTCCCACTAGATCTACCCTTATCCGATGCATAACTCGCAACTTGTCTGTTATCTTCATTTACGCATTATTCCTACACTTCTGAGTGTTCATACTGTTTGCGTTACTAATTTTCCGTGATCGTCTTTTGTTAGCTTATTCGAGTTAAAATATTTTACTTCCTTACGCTTTAAACTATGGTCAACTAATTTTCTCCGTGGTGATGTAATAATTGCTGGGTCCAGAAACCTTACTATCCTGACGCAAACCTACCCACACAGACCCAAAATAACTACCGAAATGACCAAAACGACTGGACGTCATCAATGACCTGAAACAATACTAAAACGAACAGAAGTGACCACCCAAAAATCATTCGACACACAGACTTTGTACATAAATTTGCAATGTGCAGATAATACCATATATATTCCAGGAACCTATTACTGCTTTTTGTACCTAATCATAAAACCTGTCTTTATTATATAAGGAATAACACTCATTACGGTCGTTTTAAAGTACCAAGGACAATAACCTACGACCTTGCAACTAATTTAACTACATTAGAACGTTTAAGGGATGCATGGTTAGTGTGGTTATTTTCATTTATTTTATCGTAAAAACGTGTTTCCTCCCAAGTAACATGGGTTAGGTTTAACGTTAATTGGTGTTTATGTAGCTTTTTGTCCGAAAACAATGCTCTAATCGTATTTCTACTAGTTGCACTGTGAAAAAATCCAGGTTTAGAGGGTTCACTGTATAATTTTTGAGAAACATGTGATAAAATCCCAAAAAAAGTTATAGTAGGTTGGAAATTCAGATACCGGCTTCTCTGAGCCAGTGGAAAACTTTACATTACTCCAACATTTCGTACGAGTTATAGATCCTTAAAAATATACTCAGATTTACTCCACGAACTTCACTTTCCCAGAAAACTACTTTCTGTCGCATTTTTCACAAGACATTGTTTTCGGCCTTAGGTGCACTGTTTCAGTTGAGTGTTTTATACACCAAACTCATCCGAAAGCAATACAGAAACTAACGTAAATGATACATATACTCTGTTGGCAACAAACTTGTATGAAATAATCACTTTCTTCGATTTAACAGCACTGAGGTTGGATCTGTTCGAACAATATAGTGCTTATATCCTCCATGAAGGTACTAAACTTTTCAGCTTCTTGTCCATACGACTTCATTCCTTGTAGCTAATTGTTTTTGTTAGAGCACATGAATTAGCAATTAGTCGACGGGACATATAAAATATTTCCTTAACCGGAATAACAATAGGGACATTCAAGCTGCATCACCTAGTTAACTAATTCCCTGTCAGTCGCAAAAATACTGGCATAAGTAAGTGTTTCGTTTTTAACTTATACAAGACCTAAGTACCGATATTTACATCATCTCTCTTAATCATAGTGGTGAATTTTTATTTAAAACGCAAAATATGGTACATATGGACACCAGATATGTATGTGCCAAACAAGATTAACGGAATACAGATTCGTAAAAGTAGCTTTGAGCAACGTAGTGTGAGGGCTAGGGATACTACATAGTTTCTAAAATCGATAGAAACAAGTAAGTTTTTAGCCTATAATCTAGTGACTGAAAGTCGAACGCCTTAACCACTGATTCACTTCTCCACAATCAGATGTCTATGCATCAATCTTTCGTTTCCTGTACTCCTACAGGTACTAGCTCAACTACAAAGATCCTAGTTTTGCACGAACTAGTAGTTAAATATGAGATCCATGTTATTCACTCATAAAGTTTTCCAGGAATCTTGTACATTAGGATATGAACTACTGTAACTTCTGTGATATACTGGTTGTTATTCTTTTTGTTATGCTAATGCTATGTGACGTGCTGAATTAACAAGCACTTTGAGATGATTTGATCATTTTTATTCATAGTTCTATTTTTAATTTAAAAATCATTTAGTTGAGTTAATGAACTTGGAGAATGCTGGTCTCCAGGACCGTGTTATAGATTTGGAAAAGCGAAGTGCTGAACAAGCCAATGAACTAGCTTGTCTAAGAAGCTCTTTGGCTGATTGTCTACGTCGCTTAAATCTTTTGGAAAGTGCTAGAGGTATGAAATTGCATTCTTCTTCTCAAAGACCAGTTTTGCACAATAATGGTAGGTATTCGTGCCTTTATTTTTGCATATCAATATTCTTTTTAGTAACATACTAATTGCTACTCACTCTATAGTAGTAAGAACTTATATTATCAGTGTGTTGTTAGTACATTTTTTATGTAATTAATTCAAAGGTAGGGAGTAGCTAATTGATATAACTGGATTCTAAAATATTTGATATCTGATGGAAATTGAAATTGAAACGCCTCAAATCAAAGTGCTTTTTTGATTCTAATAGCGTCCTACCTGTAGAATTAAGTTTTTCCAGTCTTAAAGGGTAGATATGTTACGGCCTCCATTTTCACGATGTCACTATATATGACTTGCGTCTGCAGAATATCTTGAATTTGTCACTTTTTATGCTCCAGATTACCTAGAAATAATTATTGTTTCTAATATTTCTGCTTATAGTACTTAAAATGCGTTTCAGTGTGTCCTTGGCTAATATTCAGATCCCTGTTAACTTCAGAACTTACTAGTGATATACATAGGCCTCAATTCATACTTTCAGCAGGATCTGTTTTAACGCATAGAGTTTCGTTAGCCTTTTCAGTCATTTGATGCGTCTTACATTTTTGTTACACTGACTATTTTAACTTGAAGTAGTCTAGGGTTGAGGAAATTCATAATGAGAAGATTTAAACAAGAAGGATAAGTCAGTTTGTTAGATTTTCGGTCTGCACCAATTGCAGTTCATACTCATGAAAATAAGCAATTAAGGCCTCATGGAAACTGGTATCCTTGGTAACTTAAACACTCGTCACACGTCCCTACAACCAGCAGCATCACTGAGCCGGACGATGATCGACCTTCGGGATTGGAATGCTTACATTGACTAACCATTAAGTCGTAATAATTTCCGTATTGTCTAGTCTTTATCCTACTGAGAACTATACTCTTTACTAAAGGACTCATGAAATAACGTCTGTGTACGGTCACATAGTGTTCTTAACTGGGATGAAGCAAGCATTTGCATTTTCACCAACTATATACTTTTGAGGGGTTGAATGTATAAGTAGGACCACATATTCATATCAAGGGTGTTTTCAGGGTGCAGAGTAAATTAAGTAAGACCGTTCATTTATTTCTGTTTATTTTTTTCCGAGAGGAATACATTTCTTAATCATGCCCGTGTTTTTATAGACTTTTTCAATGGTATTTATTGTTCTATTAAATATAATGCATCCTTAACCTAATACCATTACACCTGTTGAGTGTAGTGAGACCAGTCTCAAAACACTTTACAGTCTAGTTTATATCGTTTGAATTAACACTTTAAGTCTTAAACTGGCTACGTACTGGTCGATAATTTTCTTTTTCTACATTTACTGAGCAAGATCTTTCACCATTGATTTATATAGATTAGATTTTAGCGTTTTTTCTATATTTTTATCTTATCTGTTATTAATTTCTCAATTCTAATTTGCCATTCACTTATCGATTATAGATAGATAAATTTAAGAATGGATGTAACGTTTATTTTACAACACAGAAAGATTATTAGTACGCTGTAAGGAACCTAAAATATACGTCACAGAACTTAATGATCATATCACACAGAAGTAAAAAGTTAAAACATGTAATAGATACAATAATAAAACAAGTTGGAAGGCGAATCCTTTGGTTTGTAACCAACACGTTGGAAAACTACAACAGGATAGTTACTAGCTTCTATGCTGATTCATGTTTGATGACATTCCAAGCCAATAAGTCATGTTAAACTTAGTAACTCGTCGAGGAAGTTACAATGTGCTAGGAAATACAAAACTTCCACAACAATGCCTCACTTCGAAATTCTGTGTCTCATCAAATTTTCAGGAACGGCTGTGGTCGATTTTCGGGTTATAAAGAGACATTATCATTATAAAAAGCATTATTTTCTCACAAAGAGTAGGTTTGATAAAACTAATCACATTGCAGAATTGTGCGTTCAAAATTTGCGACAACACTGATTGTGATTCAGGTTGGCATAAAAAATTATGACTTTTATCATACATGGGTTCATCTTGTCTGCTACAACACTTAACTTTACATTACCTAAGCGTTTAATTGTAGCAGAATATTTTTTTGGAACTTCTAATCTGTTGACCAAAAGCTTCAACCCACAAGGCAATGGAACAATGTCAAGGGATTCATTTGGCTAGTACCAGGTTGTCAACATAAGTTCATACACCTTTCGCTCTTAAAGCATATTGGAGGGTACCTGTACCAGTGGTTTGAAATTGTAGATCTACAGCCATCCTACATGGACTCTATATTCATCACAGTTTTCACACTTGTATAAGTTCAAATGATTCACACTTAACAACGTTATCAGTATGTCTTCGTTAAGATCTGTCTTCATACAATGCTGCTACTCTTGTTGTTTAGCATTCGAAACATGGTTGAACCGGAGCGAAATTATATTCCAACTAAACGGAGTTGAATGGGAGTATTAGTCACAATAAAAAAACGTTAGTATATTTATAATTTTACACCAGGATATACTAATCTTTTCCAATTATCCGTCCTCCATGAAATATGCATTAATTTAATCTGTGGTCTGCTATCAGTCTTCTTTGACGTACTTCCTTCTGGGTGCCGCTGTCACAAACACTTGTTTCATAATCAAAACGAAGTAATCTGGTAATGGCATATTTATCTTTTAAGCTGGCCTCACAGTGAATTTCGTCTATAATAACAATCGTAAATTGTAGTATTTTAAGACGACTCACTTTTGTATCTCTTCTTGTATTTGTCTGTTATGGTTGGGTATAGGGCGCATTGTGCCTATAGATATTTTATTTTTAAAACAGATTATTAGAAAAATATTACTACTGTAGAAGTACTTTTAAAAAAGAACTATAACTTATACCGTAATGACAACTGTAAAATGGAGTAGTGGGTTAATGGTGAAGACATTCAACTTTCAACCACTAGGTGACAGGTTCGAGTTTCGTCTTACTCACTTCAGTTTTACCAACCAGGTGGTATCATTAGTCCTCTTACATATAGTATGGCTTAAAGATAAATCTATAAATCTGTACTTGGTGAGTTGAATTGAGGTCACTTCCTATCTTGATACAAGATCTGTTTCTCTGACAATTTCAACTTTCATTTGATTAGTATCTTGAAAGTTGCTTAGATAGCTTTGAAAAAGTACGTGTTGGTTCCTTGTGGTAGTATTAGAAGTATTAGTTAGCCTTACGACCACCAGTATACCCGGTCCTTTCAGAAAGCCCTATTATTTATCAATAATATTATTAATAATTCAATATATGTAAAATCTAAGATAGTTCTCATTGCTTTAAGTGGATTATATATGGATAAGAAAAAGATTGATGCATCACGTGTATATGACCTAAACCTTAGTGGGACTAAGTCTTTTCTATTTCAAATCGGTTTAGCAACTAATTTTCAATTAGATTGTAAATTGCATTTAACATGTATTGTAGATATAGCACTCTTAATATAAATAAATATTAATCCTTGTGTTGAATATGATATACATTACTTTGACTATAGTTGCTTGTTCACCATCTCAATAGTGTTGATCTGTTATTATCATTATTGTTGTTGTATTAAACGTTAATCGATCTGTAGTTTGTATAATTAATTGTTGAGTATGAGGTAAATTTACTTCCCCTATTTATATTCTTCACTAAACAATCTGTCATAATATGAGTTGATGTGTTAAAATATTACTTATTGACAATATTTTACCAATGATATTTTCCATCAAGAATATTCAAATGCCCTGATACGGCCAAGGGGGGGAAGAGTCAGTTCCCCCTTTCTAAATCCTCTCACACGGCCATGTCTATACAGCCATTGCCAGAGAAGTCCTGTGTACTGCCTTCTCGTAGCATTACTGTTGTTTACGAAATCGGGAAGACGGAAAGCGAATGTCTAGCGCTTTAACCGGGTTGGTGGATGTGGAGGATCCATTTAGAGGAATTGGAAAATCCTGATTCCAAACCAATGACGCACATGTGTTCCAGGCTTCTGAAGGAACGAATGACGTATGAACCTATTGTTGATCACCGGCTACCGTGGAATTACATCTCCTAACGTTGCTCCACTGCTTTGTGCATTAGACCTCTAAGTGAAAGACTGGTGATATGGCCCCCAAGAAAACCACCTGCTTCGGTTCGGTCACATGGCCAGTATTCCTTCTCTCATACAAATCGGATGGCGAAGTGTAGCGTTTATATATTTGGTGCCTTATTGAACAGTGTTTATGTGTTTAAATAAATAAATGTATGATAAACTTCATCTCTTGACCATAATTTTTCAACTTTTGATTATCAACATCATGTCAAATATTACATAATAAAAATTTTTTTCACAACTAATTAAATTTGTTATAGCGACTACAATGTGGATAGTTGATGTCTTGAGTAAAGTCCTAAAGTTTATAAGTGGAGTTGTGTAAGGTGTTTTTTCCCCAGAACTACTGATATTCTCCTAAGTTCATTAGTCATTGTGTGAACTATACGGTTTATTTGATAATTTTTCTTAAAACCTCTCGATGTGATGTTGAAAAAGTTCAGTTTTGTCTTCTGACACGAAATACGATAATATATCATTAAATCAGTCTCACTAGGTCACATGGTATACACAATTATGACCATCGGTTGAGAGCTTAATTATACACGAGACATTAGTTTTACGGGCACAAATACAAGCAGTCCACATGTAGTGAAATCCAGAGTAGGAATCCGGGTTACAGTATAAAAATAATCACCTATGGTATAAATTACGTAGTGGCTGTTTGTCTTTGCTCATCAATCAGTCAAGAGCTATTTTCACTAGAAATATCAAATTTTATGACTTATCTATGCAATGAGAAAGTTTTATCCCTGACTCAAATATGTTGGATGGTGCAATTCCCTTGTACTATTCATAGCCTTAACCTAATCCAAAAGTCGAATCATTTTGAAAAGAATCATTAATAGAGAAAAAATAATGAATTAAACAACAACCAACTACTGCGTACACAAATACACTTACACTATTTT